GTGAATGGAGGTTTCGTCCTCCTCACAGAATCTGCACTCACTATCCTCTACTACTCTCAGTTTACTTAGGTGTCCTTTTAGTCGGCAGTGCCCGGTAAGGATCCCTGTTACAATACGTAGCCTGTTCTTGCTCAGGCAGATGCAGGCTTCCGATCTTTTTTGGTTATATTCACCCAGAAGTATCTTGGCCTGTCTCAGCCCCAAGAGATTGTTCCAATTATCGGTTTTTCTACTACCCAATTCTTTTTTAATCTCTCCTAATATTATGTTACTGCTGATACCGCGGAACGGCTCAGGTCCTACAAAGGGTGTTTGATCCCCTTTCCTTGCAAAACTATCTGCAATCTCGTTACCCTGTACCCCGTTATGTCCCGGGACCCAAGTGAGAGTAACCCTATGTTTTTCGACTAGCTCATTCAATTGTTCTAGGCATCTCCAGACCATTTTCGAGCTGATTACGTTAGAACTCAGCGCTTTGATGGCTGCTTGACTATCGGACATGATGATAATCTCTTGTCTATGATAGTTTCTCTCGATGTTAAACTGGATACACTTCTCGATGGCGTGAATTTCCGCCTAGAAGATGCTTGGGTATTTTCCCAAGCTTTCGGAGTGCTTGGTTCTCGGCCCATACATTCCTATTCCAGTTCCTTCTATGGTTTTGGAACCGTCCGTATACCACTGAATAGCACGTCTTTCGGTTGCAAGCGCGATGGATTCTTGGCTCCATTCTTTCTTGCAGCCCAGCTCTGTGGTTTTGAAGTTTTTCACAAAACTGTACTTCTTTTGCATTTCAACCTGGGGTATGTCCCAGGTATCTTTAGTCCTGAAACAAGTAGACTTTCGTCTGATTACTCCGTTCCTGATCATTCTATATCGTGTCCTTTTTGCCACATTCTCTATCATCAAATGTAGAGGGGTGAGGTTTAAGGTCACCTCCATTGCGGCCGTAGGACAGGTTCTCATTTCACCAACATGCTAGTATTTGTACTTTTGAGATATTAGCTTTAATAGTAGCTAAACTAGTTCTGTTACTCCAGACTATAGCCACGTAAATGATGATTGGTCTCACTATTGCAGTATACATCCATCGCAGTATGTTTGGGTTACATCCCCATCGTTTACCCGCAATGTTTCTGCATACCATTAGGGCTTTTGTGGCCTTATTTACTACTTCCTTCTCATGTGTGTTCCAGAGAAGTTTGTTGTCCAGGGTTAGGCCTAGATATTTGACTTCATTTTTCCATTCTATAATTCGTATTTACAAACGCTTTACTGATTGAGTTGTTTGTTCTTCTTTGAAAAATTCTCCTAAGAATCAGAATTATTTCGAAACCATTCGAGAAAAACAGTGACCGAATAGTCGCTGGCTTTCAAAATAATGTTACCATGCTCACGTATGATATTTCACATGAAATTTACCGTTACATCAAATTCAAAAGTTTTATTATTTTATAACCTTCTAGTTCGTATTAGTTGTTCCCACCTCTAATCGACAAAATTAAAGTACTGAAAATACTATTTGATTTTGCGGATTAGAGGTGGGAACAATTAATACAAATTAAAAAGTTACAAAATAACAGAATTTTGAAATTGATGTAACGGTAATCTGTGGTTTAGTTGCTGTTTAAATCCAAGTTAATATTCTTTGAGATACTTCTGTATTTAAAAAAACTGCAAAATATAGGTTTCATCGGTAGTTTCAGTACCATTCTCTAGGGTCACATACACGTCTTATTATTTTTTATCAATTGTATAATCTATTATATCTGTACATGATAAACTTTGCAAATTGTACTTCTTTTTAATGTGTACGAATATAAACCAGAAACGAAATATCAAGTATCAATGTTACATTTTGGTCTTTTATTGCATAAAAATTGTATGTGAAGTATATTGGGTATTTATTATTTGTCTAAAAAGTATTTGTGAATGTGTAAAGGTATAAAAAAATGTTGCAAGTTTCTGAAATTAATTTGCAACTTAATTTTAATGTACATTTAGCTTAATGTACAATTTTCTGTTCTGATTCCGCAGTTTATTTTTCTGATTGACAATCAGAATGTATTAATTGATAGTGAATATAAATTAAGATATTCTGTATGTAATATAACTTATTATACTCATACCTATGTTTTTAATGTTGTGTTGAGTATTTATTTTATCATTCATCTATTTATTTGTTCTAACTGAACATGATGGTCATAACTTGTTATTTTTGTATGTGTTGGAAGTTCGCGTTTCATTTGTATATCTTAGGAGATGATTTTAGTGATAACAGTGATAGTGACAGTTTACAGATCGAGTGGAAAAGAGACTAGCTTTAAGTAGGAGACCTTACTAAGAGCGCTATTTTTTTTATTTAATTTTTAGTCGTTTATTACTCAAATAAGGACTGAAACTCTTATTAGGTACAAATTTTATAAGTTTCACAAATTAATGCGGACGTTTGACCTTAAGAAGATCATAATAGTGTCATTAAATGTTCTTTAACATCTGTATTCCACGTGACCAAATTGATGTCATCAGTAAATGTAACTGACGTATTTGACAAAACTGACACTTAAATTGTCACAAGTCAATTTCATATCATGTGAGTATTGAATTTTCTGGATTAAATAAAATAAGAGTTTCATAAAAAAAATAATGTTCTCATTGTTACTGTTAAAATGCCTTCTATCAGCAATATTACCAATTTGTGCACCAAGGAGGAATGACAGTTCTTCCTTCTTCTTGATCTGTAAGCTCGATCTATTTGTATAGTAACTTAGTATTAGTAAACTATTATTGGAAAGAAATTCAAATCGTAAAAAAAAACATGACAGTTTTTACAAAGTGAACAAAGACAAAATTATACGTTTCCAATTTGTATTGTTCAACTAAGAAAATTGTGCGATTAAGGTGCATCCGATCCAAAAAACTAATGTCTGTAAAAAGAATTAGTTGGTAAAATATTTCTTACATTAAAAAATAAGAACTACCTACGTTGGTTTTTTTTTATCCTTACCTCAATTTTATCCTAATGTCGTTCGAGTTATTTTCGTCCAGTTTATCTCTAATTCTCTAAGCCCCTCTCTGCCTCATTTAGGCCTTTTTAAGGCCTTAATTTTTTTCTTTAACTAAGAATATTTAATATAGCAGGTCACCTCCTTAATCTCTTTTTTTTATGCCGGACGAAGGTAGAGTGCGAAGCCGATGCTATAAAGTTAAACACCCAAGTCCTCTGACTTATAGTTTGAACGTGTCTTCTTATTTCAGTTACGCTTTGTATGCGTTTACACGAATACAGAAGAAATTCTTAATATTTTATGTCCATATTCCTCAACATATCTATTAGGTGGAATTCTTTTCGTGGTAGATTTTGACGTACAACTTCCTAAATCTGATATACCATTAATTGAATAATTAATGTTCTCTTCCTGCGACCATTTTATCTTTTGTTTTGTCCAACTATAACAGAATTGGTTCCACGTACCGCGAATGACAACTGGCATTATCGATTGTAATCAAAGAAGGATGTTCCAGACTTAACTTTCAAAATTTTCTGTGTTCATATTATTATGGTAATCTCCGTTCTTTGTTTGACTTTTAAATATGAGGTCTACATTTTTTATAGACCCTTCTTCATTGCCCCTTGGAAAATTATGTATTGAATTCCACCTTCTGTTTTTTTCTTAATTGCAGTAGCCATATTGTTCCCTCTTGACAACTTTTTCTGTCACTCTCCTTGCTCACGTCTCATCCATAAATACAGGCTTAAAGTTACTCCTTGCTAATATTTTTTTAACTTATTCGATGTTCGTTCCAGTAAAAATTGTCTGCTCAAGAATAGGATACACATAACAGGACACCTTAGTATACTGACAGTGGTAGAAAATAGTGAGTGCAGATTCTGTGAGAAGGAGGACAAAACCTCCAATCACATTAAGACTGAATGTATAGCACTGCCGAATCCAAGAGCACTATATCTAGGAGCATATCAAATAGAAGAGGGAGATTAATCTATCCTATGGAAGCCACTCAATCCTACACTTTCTTGAGGTATTTTAGAGTTAAAAATGTTATAATAAAAGGTTTGTTGTTTAGAATTTAGAATATAGGTTTCTAATTAGATGTTTATTTTATTAATTTCTTTTGTTTTTTCTTTTTAATTTGAGTTAGAATAAACGGTTTTGTTGCATGATATATATCATGTGATATATTTATATAAATATGATATTTTCGAACCCTGCCTCTTGGTTATGTGGTCTGATCTCATGTCTAGCACGTCTCCTGTCACTAACCTTGAGCTGTGTATGTTATCGGTTTCACCACCATGTTATAAAGCCAATATACCATGTCTGGTTTTAACCCCCATTTTTTTTGTTATTTCGAATTCGTACAGTGTCGTACACGATCTTTTAAAATCTGCAAAAATATACAGGGTGTTTCATAATATATGCGCAGGATTTCAGGACATGATAACTCGTCCAAAAATGTCCCCATTAAATTAAAAAAGTTGAGGGTATTTCCGGTGACACTGGGAGTTCAGTAGTAACACAAGATATGGCATCAGATGCGTTATGCGTCATTGTAATTGCCTGCAATGTTTCATAAATATCGTCCTTTTCGTTTTAAAGATATTTACTTGGTTCCATACTTTATCCCAACCCTGTATATCTTGTGCTTCTTAAATTAATCAATACAAAAATTGTAAATTGGGTTAACTTTTACAACATACCCTGTATTTTTGTAATAAATTCTAATGACTATTTAGAGTCATCTAGAATTTTTTTCATAAAATTCACGTTTTTTTTTTTTAATTCAATATTAATAAGTCATACATCCCTTTATCAAAGTACATTTGAATATTTCTTTTATTTACCAATATCTAATATCTTATTTCGCTTAAAGTTTTATCAAACTTCATTCTTAAATTAACAATATTAAAACATTTCGTTTGTACATAACTTATCAAAACTTTATTACTTCTCAATAATATTTAAAACTTTTTTTTATAGGTATTCTTCAAGAATTTTCATTAGACTCAAGGAAAAATCGATATAGCCGGTCCACGTGAAAAAATCCTATGTTGCCAGTTACCAGATATGCCAGTTTATAACTATTAACGCCGTTTGACGTCAAGATCAGGTAAGGTAAACTAACTAGTTTTGAACATTTATTTTTCTTAGGATTAGAAGTACCCTAATTATTATTATCAATAATTATCCTTGTTTATTTTTTCTTTATATTTTTCTGCATTCTTTGCTATTTTCTCTCATTTTTCTTCAATTATCTTCTCGTATTCTTCTAGATTTTCTTAGGAACATTATTCAAACAAAATTCTACGTATTGATGTTCTTTAAAAACTATTAACCTTAGAAATTTTATTATTTCACGTATGTACCTTTCTGTCTGGTTGGCACATGGATGTCTGGTACTAGTATAACATTAGCCAGGTTTTTAGATTGTCATTATTAAAGTATGTCGTGTTATCCATCAGACATTTCTCTGGTATTCCTATATCCATAAAATATTTCGTCGAATATGTTTTCTTGTCTTTTTGTTGGTTCTGTGGCATGGGTTATGTTATGTTGAGAATGGGGTGTTAATACTCTGCAACCTAAAAATCTATTGTGTCCTCTTCTGTCACCAATGCACTAAGGAAATGTCTCAATGCCTATAACGACCTTTTCAAGTTAGGTAAATATCTCCTTCTTCTATTTGATATCCTCCTAGATATAGTGTCCTTGGATTCTGGAGTGCTACACATTCAGTTAGGATGTGAATGGAGGTTTCGTTATCCTCCTCCTCCTCATAGAATATGCACTCCCTATTCTTTACTACTCTCAGTTTACTTAGGTGTCCTTTTAGTCGGCAATGCCTGGTAAGGATCCCTGTTACAATACGTAGGCTGTTCTTGCTCAGGCAGATGCAGGCTTCCGATCTTTTCTGGTGGCATGGGTGTAACGTGACAAATTTTGAAAAAACATCCACGATGACAAATATGTTTTGGTTAAACTCAATACTGGATACTAAGTTGGAAACGAAATTTATAGTTATTAATTCTATTACAAATGTTTTTGGAATGTTTTCATTGTCATATTTTTTTCTTTTCCTAATTGACAAAGTTCGTATCTTTTGACTATCTGTATCTGTAACGTGTGGAGGGTGGGTTACCTCCATTGTGCATCCTCCTAAGATGATAGACACCTTCTAGCTCGTGCTTCTCTTATATCGGCCGGTGTTAGCCGATACTCGCCGAACATAAATCTTTTAATAAATGAAAGCGTCTAGCAATTGTAGAGGATATACACGATGGTCTCATCTTCTTGTTCGCACCCTCTGCAGAGTGCTGATTCTGACAGCCCCATGATATGGAGATGCTTCCGTACTTGGCAATGACCCGTCAGAATGCCTGTGACTAGGCGCAGATTCTTTCTAATCATAGCAAGTATTTGTTTGCTGCAGTGTTGTCAGGATAACTTGAGAGCTCCCTGGCAACTTGCAGTTTCTTGTTTCATCCCATCTTGTGACTATTTCTTTCGTTATTGACAGATGTAATTTTCTCTGAAAATATGTAGTTTAATAATTTCACTAGATACAATTTCCGTTACTATGTATCCCGTTGTTTTTATACTTGTTTTTGAGAATGGTCGTATCGTGAACGATTGATTGTCGTTTTCTATTTATTGTTTAATAGGAAAAATCTAAGTTTGCTTACTCAAAATAGGATATTCACTAGTTGTAGCTCACGAACACTGTAGTTTTTCTCAACCTTCTTTTGTAATCCTAGAAACGAAAGATAAAGGGACGACTCCATTATCTTGGACCTGTAAAATACTGCCAGCAAATCGATTTTGTGAGGCAACAGTCCTTAGGATAAACGTTTTGATATATCTTGATATTCTCAGTAAATTCGTTTTTTTATTGCTTGAAAAGCCACTTCCCTCTCGTGAATCCAATGCCATCTTACATTCTTTCTAAGTTTCTTTTTTCAATCAGAGATTAAACTTTTAAAATAATGTAAAATGCCGAGAAATTCTCTCTGGGCTTCTTTGGTCTTTGGTCCATGCTTACGCCTTCTTGAAATTTATAACTTCTCCTTTGAAGAATTCACACTTGTTTATGTTTAATTTTAGCCCAGCTTCATCCAGTGCTTTCAAAACGATGTCCAAGTATTTTATATGTCCAGCCTTGTCTTCAGAGAAAATTATGGATCATATGAAGAGCTTTCAATAAGGTAGATGTCGCTGATTGCGTTCCAAAAGGTACAACTTTAAATCCGAAGACTTTCTCCATCTAATATGAAACCCGTGTAATGGTATGAGCAAACAGCTATGCTTCAGGTCCAGTTTTGAGAACATTTTTGATTTGATATGCTGCCAAGAATTGCGTTCATCGTCAGGGGTGCTTCGTATTCAGGTACGCAACGTTTATTTAATTCTTAAGCGTCCAAGCAAATTCTTATATAACCATCTCTTTTCTTAACAGTCACTATGGAATTTATGTATAGAGTAGTACTGTGTTCAATTATTTCATCTTTTATTAGTTTCTTTATTGTTTCTTTCATTTCTTCTTTGTATTGATATGGAATTGGGTAACTTTTTCGTTTAAATGTATCCATGTCCTTGACTTTCAATTTATGTATAGAGTCCTTAGCAATTCTAGATTGTTTGTTGAACAATTTTTAATATTTTTTCAATAAATTTTAAACTTGCTCACTTCTTTCACAGCAATCTAAACATACTTTTTTCCATACCATTATCATACCAATTTCTATCACCTTCTTCAATAATTTCTTCATCTTCCACTTTATTTTATCCATACTTATTATGTATTCTTCTTACTATCAAAAGCTGCTTCTTTGTACATCTTCCTTCTTCAATTTTTCTTCATTTTCCATTATCGAATTGTTTTACAACGTTGTTAAATTACAATCCAATTCCATTATTATTCAATTTTCTTTCTCTATAATTTATATCCATGTTGTTTTTGTAATTCGTCCGAATTAAATGTATTTTACAAGATAATGATAAATGCAAAGTTAACAGTTTACACCGTTTACGGTTTTATATTTTAATAGAATCAACGTTTCGTCTTATATAACTCGCTCCATATTTTGTACTACTAATAATTGCACTTCAATATTTGTATCTTTTAAATTTAATTTTACTATAAATAATTTATTAAACTCACAAAACTTTTTTGCACTAAGACCTACTAAATTCACATTAATAATTATGTATTTGACTCCAATAATTTACCTGTAACTTTCTTATATTATTTTCGTTATTTTCCAGGCAATCGACAGCTTCGAGGAATTCTCTAGGATGGACATAACTATACAGATTGCATGCTACGCCATCCTTTAATGAAAATTCTGGCCACCATTCAGGATTTCCCGTAATGATATTATCCTGTCTGTCTTATCGCCTGAGCAGTGCTTGGAGATCCTGCCCTATCTGAGCTGTTGGACCTCCGCTGAAAAAGGACATGTTTATCCTTATTACTATTATTATTTTGAGTAAAGTTTCGTTGCTGATATTTGTGATCTCCATCAGAGACTGTAAATCTATAATAATTCTTTATCATGTACGTATCCTTTAAATATTGTACAATTTCTATATCATATACGCTTTTATTATTTGTTAATATATGTATTCTTTATAAAATAAACATCTCATTAATCAAATTCTTTTCTTTTATTTATTTTATAAATCAAAAATGATATTAGTTTTAAAAATTTGTAGGAGGTTAAAATATAATAAAGTTTAGTTGACAGGCAACACAAACTACAGTGATGTGTAATGTTGGTTGCCTAATTGCTTTTTTTAGCCATCTATTGGGGAATATATATAACTATATTGTTTTAGCTATTCCCTAATAGGTGGCGGTTGTAAATATAATAGGCAACCAGTATTACACATTGGTGTATTCTGTGTTGCCGTCAACTACAAAATTTATATTTCAATAACTCGTAAACGGATCAAGATAGTCATTAGTAATTGAGTAAATAGCAAAAAGAACTTGAAAATGTATGGTAATGGAATTTGACGTATTTTTAAATGCGAATAACTACTAAACGGCACGAGATAGAGGCAAGCGGCAAGGGGCATTTTAAACTATCCGTCCGGCTCTATCTTCACGTGAATTTATGGAATAATTCGACCATTATTGACTGAGGAATTAAGAAAAAAAAATTAACCCTTATAGCTAGGGAGCAACTGAGTTCACCCCTTAATTGCTCGTGCTTTCTTTTATATGTACCCCCAATTTTCATCAAGATCAGAGACAAAAAATTTTTTTGTCAAAAAATTTGGAAGGCTATACCCTTTCGATTTTTTTGAAAAAATAAAAAACAATTTAAATTTGCATACGGATAGAGGGTCACATGTAGATCTCAAAAATACACTCAGTTTTTTTCTAACAGCAATATTAAAAAAGTTGTAGCCAAAATAAAAAATTTCGATATCTCCTCGCGTTTCTATTATCCTGATACAAAGTTCCGAATTCGAAAAGATTCAATTTTGTCAATAAAATTTTGGTATCAGGATAGCAGAAACGCGACAAGGTATTTGACTTATTTTTAAATGTGAATAACTACTAAACGGATCAAGATAGAGGCAAGCGACAAAGGGCATTTTAAACTATCCCTCCTGCTCTACCTTTGTGTGAATTTATGGAATAATTCGATCATTATTAACTGAGGAATTGAGAAAAAAAAATTAACCCTTATAGCTAGGGAGCAACTGAGTTCACCCCTTAATTGCTCGTGCTTTCTTTTATATGTACCCCAATTTTCATCAAGATCAGAGACAAAAAATTTTTTTGTCAAAAAATTTGGAAGGCTATACCCTTTCGATTTTTTTGAAAAAATAAAAAACAATTTAAATTTGCATACGGATAGTAGGTCACATGTAGATCTCAAAAATACACTCAGTTTTTTTCTAACAGCAATATTAAAAAAGTTGTGGCCAAAATAAAAATTTTCGATATCTCCTCGCGTTTCTATTATCCTGATACAAAGTTCCGAATTCGAAAAGATCCAATTTTGTCTACAAAATTTTCGTACCAGGATAGCAGAAACGCGACAAGGTATTTGACTTATTTTTAAATGCGAATAACTACTAAACGGCACGAGATAGAGGCAAGCGGCAAGGGGCATTTTAAACTATCCGTCCGGCTGTATCTTCACGTGGATTTATGGAATAATTCGACCATTATTGACTGAGGAATTAAGAAAAAAAGTTAACCCTTATAGCTAGGGAGCAACTGAGTTCACCCCTTAATTGCTCGTGCTTTCTTTTATATGTACCCCAATTTTCATCAAGATCAGAGACAAAAAAAAAATTTGTCAAAAATTTTGGAAGGCTATACCCTTTCGATTTTTTTAAAAAAATAAAAAACAATTTAAATTTACATACGGATAGAGGGTAACATGTAGATCTCAAAAATATACTCAGTTTTTTTCTAACCGCAATATTAAAAAAGTTATGGCCAAAATAAAAATTTTCGATATCTCCTCGCGTTTCTATTATCCTGATACAAAGTTCCGAATTCGAAAAGATCCAATTTTGTCTACAAAATTTTCGTACCAGGATAGCAGAAACGCGACAAGGTATTTTGAATGAAAATGTAGTTCCATAATCAAAAAATCGTATAATTTAGGGTAACGCAATTCGACTTATTTTTGAATGTGAATACGAAAATATCCAATTTCGTTAATAAAATTTTTGGTATCAGGATAACAGAAAAGCGACAAGGTATTTTGAATGAAAATATAGCTACATAATCAAATAATCGTATAATTTGGGTTAACGTAATTCGACGTATTTTTGAATGTGAATACGAAAAGATCCAATTTCGTCAATAAAATGTTGGTATCAGGATAACAGAAAAGCGACAAGGTATTTTGCATGAAAATGTAGTTTCATCATCAAATAATCGTATAATTTGGGATAACGGAATTTGACTTATTTTTGATTGTAAATAATTATTAAACGGCTCAAGTTAAGTTTTCTTATAAGTCTTTTTGAACCGTTTTTAATTGATTATGATACAATGTGCATAGGTAACGAGTTTTAAATAAAACACAATCTTTATTAGTATGTATATTTTAATAGAATATCTTTAATTACACCATTATATATCTATTATAACAGTTTTTAATTATTTATTTATATGATATTAACATTTTTTGATTGTTTGACATTTTGACAAGATAAAATTATTATTTTTTTGTACTATTAATGAAACACAAATTAATATACACAACTATACCCAATAAATCTTTCTTTCAAATAATGGTTCGACTTAAATACTTATTTATACAAAATAATAATTATTAGGCATTCCAAACAAATGAATTGCTAGTGGGAAGGTTTGGTATAACTAAGGGTGGCGACATACGGTGTATTCTATCTACTTTACGTAAAATCATGAATAATGGATTACATTTAAATATTTTATGTCAAACACAATAAAAATAATATTTAAAAAACCCACCTATATATTTCTTCATAAATTGGCAGGCTTGGCGACTACTACTTCGAATAAAAATAGCGTCCAAGTTGCAAGACTATGTCGCTACCCCCTTAGATATACAAGAATTTCCCACTGGCACCTATTGTTTGACAGGTCGTTGGAATGCCTAATTAGGCATTCCAACGACCTGTCAAACAATACCTGCCAGTGGGAAGGTCTCGTATATCTAAGTGGGTAGCGACATAGTCTTTCATCTTGGACGCTATTTTTATTCGAAATATCAGTCGTCAATCCTGCCAGTTTTTAAAAAAAATGTACAAGCAGTTTTTTTAATTAATATTTTTATAGTGTTCGATATAAAATAATCCATTATTCATGATTTTAGGTATTGTAGGTAGAATACATCGTATGTCGCAACCGTCAGATCTACCAAACCTGCCCACAGACAATTCATTTGTTTGGAATGCCTAATTGATTGAAAGAGAATAAGCAGCTTTGATATAGATAAAAGTGTAAAATTTGACAGTTGGGACTTTCTATGACTTAGAGCAATACAGAAAAGAAACATAGGGCTAGTTCCACTGCAGAGATACTCTGAGAAATCATAACTATTCACAGTGTACCTAGCTCAGTGAGTAATAACTAAAATAAAATGTAATTTCTGTGAAAATAGAACCATTATTTGACAGAATAGTTGACAATTATTGTTAAAATTAAATAATCTGTTTAGGCTGAGGAGATTCGTAATTAATAATTACAGTAATAAAATACACAATAATCTACACAAAATTTTTAAATATTTAATGTACCTTGATTTCTAATCTGTACTTTTTTAAAAAGACATTGTTAGTGTACATTCTAAGGGGATTCAGGGAGTAAATCAATCAATTTTGGTTATAAAATACTATCTATTATATTATTAGTCAATATTCATTTAATTATATAGGTTTTGGCCACTAGTAAGTAGATCTCCTTTTAGCACTATAGCAAAAATAACATTAATTTACTCCACATTAAATTTTTTTTTATTAAACAAAAGCACGACGTAAATAAAAAATATCCAAATAAAATTGTATATCCTACTAAACACAGTGAAAAAAAAAACATTCAATCGTGTATATGTCACAAACATCATCAAGTTTGGCGTTCTGTAATATACAGATCAATCTCCGACAGAGAGAATATTTTTATTGACAGTTGCAAATTGGTCATAATGTTGAAAATTAGATGAGGTTTGTTATTTTTGTCAAAGAATACCTACCCAAGAAGCGAAACTGAATGAGTTTTCGTATGTACTAAAGCATGGGAACTTAATACACTGGGAAACATATGAAAATTAATCCATTTTTGTCGTTTGGTTCATAAGAATTGAACACATTAAAGTAACAATGGCTTACAGAAAATTCTTACCATGTTCTTTTTGAAAAATAGATTATTTTAATAACAAAATAAATATTATTATTGTACTTACAAATAATGACAGTCATTACACAATAGCGTAAGCAAATAACCTGGGAATTTTGAGAACAATTGAAGACATGAAGATACATGTAACATGTCACATTTTTTCAAAAAATGATTTTCATGGCCTATAATACTTAAAATATACTATATTTTTTGTTTATGGTAGGTAGTTCTAATTTCCAATTTTGATAAATAATGGCTATACATCAGATAGGAAGGTATCATGAGCCATATATCGTAATGCAATTGTAAAACTTTAAATTTGATTTTCCCGAAATAATCTTTTTATGACATGACACCTTTATCCATTCGTGTCTTTAATTATGGAACAGTGGTGCAAGGACCATCCACTGTCTATCAATTCCAAGAAGACAGAAATGGTCGTTGTCACAAGGAATAGGAAGAAAATTGAATTAAAACCTCTAGAGCTCTTAAACATAAAAGAAAACTTTGCAACAGAAGTGAAGTACCTAGGTAGCTATTTTGACAAGTTATAATGGAACTCACACTTAGAAAATAGAGTCAAAAGATCATACATTGTTTATGAACAATGCCGCCGAACCGTGGGGAGCATCTGCGGTTTCTCCCACATGGACTTACATGGCCATCATAAGACCTATGCCGATATACGGTACAGTTGTCTGGGTACCGAAAATCCAAAAATTGACAGCTATCCGCAAACTAGAACAAATTCAAATAACAGCAAGTCTCAATATAACAGGAGCCATGAAAACTACACCAACCAGAGCCATAGAAGTCTTTTTTTGTCTCACTCCCCTTGATATGTACATCGAGGATGACAATGACACGCCTTTGCACGGTTGGGGCAGAAACTGATGTTTAGAATAGAAGAGCCGGTAATGGCAGGTTATCATGACAGCAAAAGAAATCACCAGAAACAATAGTGATATTGTAGGAACAAGCTCATCTATACAGATAGCAGATAAGCACTACTTATCCTGAACAGACTACGAATTTACTCAGGGTTAGTACTAGAATGTTACGAAGCTGTGATGTTACGAAACTGTGGCAAGAGTATGCATCAACAATATGGTGCTGATTCACTAGACAAGAAGGCAGTTAACCAAATACTTTTTGGACCTGGCTCTTCTATTGAACTGACAACATAGGTAGTGACAGACCTAATTAAAGAACATTCTCTTGTGAAATTCAAGGAAAGATGGGAGGAAACCAGAAACTGCAGGGTTGTCAGGAAGCTTTTAAGTTATCCTGAAAACATTACAGTAAAGAAACACTTCATTATGACTAGACAGAATCTGCGCCTGATCGCAGGTATTTGGACTGGTCATTGCCAAGTACGGAAGCATCTCCATATAATAGGGCTATCATAATCCGCACCCTGCAGGGGGTGCGAACAAGAAGATGAGACCATTGAGCATATCCTCTATGATTGCCTGACGCTCTTATTTATTAGAAGTATTGGCTAACACCGTCCGATATAAGAGAAGAACCTCTTGGCCACGTTGTCACCTACGTTCAATCTGTAGACGGGTTCACGTGCTAGGAGGTGCCTGTGATCTTAGGATACACAATGGGCCTAGTAGGGCCTAAGTGCATGGGGTAACCCACCCTCCACACGTTACATATCCAGAAGTACTGTAGGTAGCTGCATGCATTTCGATTGCATCCTGATATAGCAGTGACTTGGTTCCTCGGAATGAGTTTGTCATATATTTTAATTATTGTTCGTTTACTGTTTTAATTCAAATGGTTTAAAAAACAAAAAAAAAACATTTTAAATAAAAGACTTAAGAAATTAAATAATGCATAATACGTAGTCGTAAATTATCATTAAAGGTAATACTGATTTAGAAATTTTAAAAATAAAACATTTACAGCCGGATGCAAAAATGTTCATTAAAATTTACGAATAGCGCAATGTATTTTTCTTATGTAATAAAAATCTTAAAACTATCTAATTTCTAATTACTATTTAGTTAAATGCAACTACTTAACTATACTGCAATTTTCACAAAACGCTAATAATAATATACCAAATGTTGCTCTACATAAATTGACAGCTATATTTGACGTTAAACCACCTCTAAAACACTGAGAAAACTTGGCAGTTTTTGGTCCACGAATCGCCCATTTAATTTCGCTTCTTGGGTAGGTATTCTTTGCTTCTGTCAAATTCTATTTCAATATTCTTTACACCAATAACATGTTTAATATTAAATTAAGTCGTAAATAACAAGTTTTTATAAATATTTAATAGGTATTTGGTTGTGTTTAGAAGGATACTGTTACTAATACTCTACTGATACCCCGACATGCCAGTACAATAATTTCGATCAGTCAATCTTGTGTTGCTTATTGTTAATTTTTCATAACAAAAACACTAACAAGGTCCAGTAGAATACGTTCTTTTATTAGAAGAGAAAATAAAAAAAAAATTCGTGAACGTTGCTAATATTTCAAATATTTAAAGCACTTCACGGAGACAAAAACGAAAATTAAAATATGTAAAAATTAAGAAAAAATCTGGACAGGCACACTTAGTGTTATTTAATATATACATATACAATGATTTTTTTTGAAAGACGCAGTAATGCATCTCCAAACAAAAAAAAATGTCTTAACCCTAAAAAGTTTTATAATATATTAAATAAAAAGGGACTAGGCATTACAAAATTTTGTGTGACATCTCTCGGAAGTTTTCATTCAAGAAGTATTTTTCAAAAATACTGACGATGGCTGACGATTTGGTTGAATTGTTTCTTTTTACTTGGAAGATTCTGTGATGTGACAAACTCTCGGTAGTCGCGTTGATTATTGTTTTAAACAATGTTCGGTTTAATGCCACTGGATGTTAAAACTTTATTAAGGAAATTCACGATGGCGGTGGCTGGTTGTTCGGGTTCCAGTTCGGCGAACAAATGGCACTGGTTGTCAGGGTTGCTGACGTTCGGTTTTCTTGCTACGAATCCGAATATTCGACTGAAAACAAAATACAATATTTATATATTATATAGTTTATATTCGGCTGTCGATAGGTGAGGATTTATGTTTATTAACATTACTCCGTATCTAGGTCAGTTTCGTTTGTTTATGTAGTGTAAATATTTTTTAATCGCGACTGCTAAACGTAATGTTTAAGAACAAAAATAAAAATAATAATGTGCCATTAAAAATAGTTTTACAATGTGTAGAAAAAAATAATAAAACAGAGTCGACACCTGCCAAAGTGCTTTTGGAGCAAAAAAACAGGATCTGCTTCAGGTAACTAAAACAAATAATATAGAAACAATGGAAGTGTGAGAAAATCTCCTAGCCCAACAATATCAGGCCTTATTCCATGAAAATCAAGCTAGAAGTCAGAATAAACGGGCATTGTACAATGCTTGGATACAGGAAAAAGCTGAAAAACACCAACTAGAAAGTGCATTGCAACAAATGCAAAACAATATGGAAAATATGCAAAAACAAATTAATATTTTAAACAAAGAAAAATCTGAAATTCCAACGAATTAAGAAACTGATGAAGAAAAACTGGCAAAAGAAATCAGCGATCAAATTAACAAAGAAGTAGAATAGATAACAGCGGAAAACAGAAACAATAGAAGAAAAAAACGAAAAACCAACTCCTCTCCTGAAACATCTCCTGGCCAACCTGGAGGTAACAAAAATCAACAAGAGAAAGAAACAGTCGAAAAAAAGGTAAAATTTCCCCCGATAATAGCAAGCAACATCAATAAGTATGAAGAATTGCGCCATACACTGGCAGAAAATAATATTTCCTTTCAAGCCACAGCTCTAAGCAATAACCAGTTTAAAATTAATAATAAACAAGAAGAAGACTTCAAAAATGTCATATCAACCTTGAATGCCAAGAAATAAATTGGCATTCCTATGAAGTTAAACAGAACAGAGACATTAAAGTAATGGTTAAAGGTCTACCATCTACATCTAAACCAGAAGATATTGTTGAAGACTTGCAAAGTCAAGGATTAAAATGTAAAGAAGCTGTCAATATAATAAAGAAGGAAATAGAATTAACCGAGGATAACACTCGTAAACTAAATAAAAAACCATTGCCCCTATTCATGCTATCATTCGAAAATATTGAAGATATTAAGAAAATCTACGAAATCAAAGCAATCCTTAATCTAAGAGTTAGAATAGAAACCATAAGTCAAAACTAGTTCCGCAATGCAAAAACTGCCAGCTATTTGGACATACGCACAACTTTTGCAAAAGAGAATCAAGATGCGTAAAGTGCGTAGGAAAACATACGAAGGATTGTGTAAAAAGTCCAGAACAACAACCGAAGTGTATAAACTGCCTAATGGAACATCCTGCTAACTACAGAGGATGTGAGGTAGCTAAAACCTTTCAGATAAGGAAGGATAATAACATCACTAAACCTAAAATAATGACGAGGCAGAAGAGATCTATAAAAGCTTTTCCTATTGTCAGAAATGAAATAACATATTCTCAGGTAACAAACTCACAGGTGCAACCAATTCAAAAGTCACAACCAACCATGAATCACACACGCCACAAATTGGGCAGCATACTTCAAAGTCAACCAGCTTAGCAGAAAGTACTACTCATGAATTATTATTATCCTTAATAACCAGAATAGATTCACTCTCTGACAGGATCCAGAAGCTAGAAGAATTAAATAAACCCCAAACATATAACAAAACCACCAATGGACAAAAGAGATATTAGAATAGCCACTTGGAATCCCAATGGTATTCTCCGAAAACAAACTGATATCCAAGTTTTCTTGGACGTACAAAAAATAGATATATGTCTGATTTCTGAGACCCACCTTACAACAGAGTCATACATTAAATTCAGAGGATATAACTTCTATCACACTATCCATCCATCAAATGCAGCAAGAGGAGGAAGTGCGTTAATTATTAAAAATAACATTTCCCACTATGAGGAACCAGGCATCTAAGAACCAGAAAATCAGGTAACCATTAGCACCATTAACAATAAGGGGGACAAAATTACAATAGCTGCAATCTATTGCCCACCAAGATACAACCAGAAAAAAGAAAATTATTTTAATGTACTCAAAAAACTAGGTAACAAATTTATAATCGGTGGAGATTACAACTCCAAACACAAACTGGGGCTCAAGATTAACCACAGTCAAAGGAAAAGAATTGCACCAAGCTGCATCAGAACTTGGTTGTACAAACCAATCTTCTGAAAAACCCACCTTTTGGCCCACCGACCCAAATAATATTCCAGACCTTTTGGATTTCTTTATTCTGAGGAAAATTTCACCAAACTATACAGAAGTAGAAGAAAACTTTGATATGGATTCAGACCATTCTGCAGTAATCCTTACTCTAAGTCAGTGCTCCGCAACCGGTGTGCCGCGGCACACTGGTGTGCCGTAAGCCGACTTGAGGTGTGCCGCTCTTGCAGACAATACGAATCAGATTCGTATTGTAGCGAGACCCGCGAAAAATAAAGCAATCTGACAACAGCGCCGATGGTAAACGTCTATCCGTCTATCGGCGCGGCGCGGCGGCTTGATTCTCGAAGGCGACTAAACTAGAAAGATCCGTGCCGTTCGAGGCGCGACTCGATGTTTTCCTGAACATCGCCACTGCCTATATAAGCGCGCCTGTCGTCGCTCAGAGACTCAGAGAGAGTCGAATAGTCAAGTGAATCAGATAAATACGCGGGCAAACAAATAAATCGTAGAGTGAAATAAATAATGAATTGCTATATAAATAAATTCTTGTGCCTTATAAATAAGTGAACTGGACTAAGTTTTGTTGCAGTATCTACTTTTATAAATAACTATAGTGCTTCAAATATGGATAAATTTTTGCTGAAATCACGAGCAGATGACGAAGAACCTAGCACAAGCTCCAGCATAAGTGCTGCAAAAAGAGCAAAAAAGGTGCTGAAAAGGAAGTACAATCAAGACTACCTTCGATATGGTTTCACTTGGTGTGGCGACGAAGCGGCTCCAAAGCCTGAATGCGTCATTTGCGGTGAACAGTTGTCAAATGAAGCAATGGTACCCAGCAAACTAAACCGTCATTTGATCACAAATCATCCCAGTTGCGTCAAAAAAGACATTCAATTTTTCCAACGGCGCTTGGATCAAAATAAGAAACAAAAGCAGTTTATGAAATCGGCGGTTACGGTTTCTGAAAAGGCATTAGAAGCAAGCTACCTTGTTGCAAAATTAATTGCACAACAAAAAAAACCGCACACTATCGGTGAAACGCTTATTAAACCAGCATGCATGGAAATTGTTAGACTTATGCTTGGGCCAAACGAAGTTAAGGACGTGAGTAAAGTTTCTTTGTCGGCCGATACTGTTAAAAGACGTATCCAAGATATGTCAAGTGATATTTTGGGAACACTAATTAAAAAAATCATTTCGGCTGGAATTTTTGCGCTTCAAATCGACGAATCAACCGATATTAAAAATAAAGCACAACTGATGGCTATTGTACGTTTCGTTGACGAGGACTCTATTAAAGAACATTATTTATTTTGTAAGGAGGTTCCAGAGAGAACTACCGGTGAACAAATTTTCCAAGTAACTGATAATTTTTTTAAAATACATAATATTCAGTGGACCAATTGCGTTGCTATTTGTACAGATGGTGCTGCTGCAATGATGGGCAGTAAGAAAGGTTTTGTATCTTGTGTAAAACAAAAAAATCCGTCAATACAAATTACACATTGCTGCATACATCGAGAAGCATTGATGGTCAAAAATTTGCCCGAACAGCTTTCGATCACAATGAATGAATGTATTAAGATCATAAACATAATTAAATCGAGAGCCTTAAATTCGCGAATCTTTGGAATACTCTGTGAAGAAATGGGAAGCGAACATGAATCCTTACTGTTTTATACAGAAGTTCGTTGGTTATCCCGGGGAAAAGTTTTAGCTCGACTGTTTGAACTTCGCTACGAAGTGCGTGAGTTTCTTTCAAGTCAAGATATGTACGATCTATGCCAGCACCTTCATGATGAATACTGGATAGCCAAACTTGCATACATGGCGGATATATTCGAACATCTGAATGAACTTAATAAAAAAATGCAAGGACGGAATGAAAATATATTGACGTGCTCCGATAAATTACAAGGGTTCAAAAAGAAACTTGAACTTTGGCAGGAACAGTTGCAAAAAAGATGTCTAGAAATGTATCACAGGACCAACCACAGTACGATCGAAAACAAGCAGTTGATTGTGGATTTGGCCCAACAACATTTAAGTATGCTTCAACAAAAATTTGAATACTATTTCCATTCTATCAACACGGAACAATACAATTGGATTCGAAATCCTTTCGCAACCAATGCAATAAGTTCCACGGAAGCACTGCCATTGCAAACTCGAGAGGAGTTCACAGAATTAAGTAATGATATGACCCTAAAACTTAAATTCGACGAAGTTCCGTTAGATGTTTTCTGGATTTCCATCAAGACAGAATATCCACGCATCATTGACAAGGCCATCTTCACACTACTTCCGTTTTCCACAACATATTTATGTGAGCAAAGTTTTTCAACGCTTGTATTAATTAAAAATGATAAACGGTCATGCTTAAAAGATCTTGACCAAGAAATGAGAGTTGCGCTGTCTAAAATTGAGCCGAATATAAAACTTTTGTGTTCAACGAAGCAAGCGCAGGTATCACATTAATCAGTCATCATCATGTCAAAATATTTATTACTATTGACGTGTCAACAGAAGTAAATTTAGTATACCTACCTGTCCTACCTAGTATTTAGTATAGTTCTCATGTATGTACCTATTTGTATTTTTCATTCTATCTGAATAATAAAAAAAAATAAAAAAAAAATATGTATTATGTCCTGAGTGAAAATTTTGATGCCCCAAATCTGAAAGGGGCTTCTTCACATTTTAAAACAATAAAAAAAACTAAGGTAGTTTGGACATCCATAAATAATTAGTATACATGGAGTGAACTGACCCCCGACCTAGCTACGCCACTGCTATAAATATATTTTAGATTTTGGTGTGCCACGAAATTCTAGGGAGCAGTTTGGTGTGCCTCAGATGAGGAAAGGTTGCGGAGCACTGCTCTAAGTGATAATGTTATTCAAAGAGAAGCCAAACCGACCCTAGCAAATCGGAAAACTAATTGGGAAGGTTTTCAAGAGGACTTAACAAATACTATTCAACTGACCATAACAATAAAAACGAAAAATCAGCTAGATGAAGAACTGGAAAGGTTTATAGTTGAAATCCAGCAAGCTGCATGGAGGAACACACCAGAAGTAAGAAGATTAACAGCTGGAAAAAACTATCCTGTCGAGATAAGAGAACTAGTAGCAGAAAAAAGAAAACTAAGAAAGAAATGACAGATGACAAGATCACCAGAAGATAAAAATATATTAAATAGGGCTACCCAAAGACTGAGAAGAGAAATTCTAAATCACAAAGAAGAATCCTTCAACAGATACCTAGTAGGGCTAACAGATGATAAAGAAACTTTGGAAGGCAACTAAAAAGATGAAAAATTCGTGTAAACACTGTCCTCCTATCAGAATAGCAGATAACAAATGGGCAAGAGAATCAACAAAAAGCTGATATTTTCGCTGACCACCTACAAAAGACGTTCCAATTAGATGAAAATCAAGACACTCCTAATGATACCATCTATAATATGGAACAACTTGAAATTAAGCTAGTTACTCCCAATGAAGTTACGAAAGAAATTCAGACAAACATCAACTCACAGAAAGCCCCAGGATATGACCTTATTACTGGAGAAATATTAAAGAAACTACCGCGGAAGGCTATTGTTAAATTGACATACCTCATAAATGCAGTATTTCGCCTTAAATATATACCTGATGCGTGGAAAATGGCTGAAGTTATCCTAATTCCTAAGCCAGGAAAACCTCTGAATGAAGTGTCGTCATATAGACCTATATCATTGTTACCGATAATATCTAAGTTATTTGAAAAACTGTTACTAAAACGACTAAAACCAATAATTGAAAATAAAAATCTGATCCCTTCGCACCAATTTGGTTTTAGAAACAAACACTCGACAATATATCAAGTTCTGAAATATTAGTAATACAAGAGAAAAAAGAAAATTTACTGTATTTGTGATTAAAGATGAACATTTTGAATTTACTAAGTTACCATTTGGCGGGAAAAATTCCTGAGACGAATTTCAAAGAATAATGCAGATAGTTTTAGGCGAATTATTGTGACTAAGATAGGCTAAGATACCTAAACAGGCTAAGATAACTATTACCAAAAGATCTCAAAAACCTTTATATATATCTGAACAAAAATAGGGTACCCATAATAATGGGAATTGCCCACCCAAAGGACACCTTGGTAAACTTGGGCTATTGGGAGGTAGGATGTGTAAATTATGTATGGAGGAAGACGAAATCAAATTTTCTGAGAGAATTACATTTTAACAGTGATACACGCTTTACAAATAGATCGATTAAAATTGTTACAACGAAATACTCACTTGGAACTCTTAGCTGCACCCGTGTCCTCCGCATTAACCAACCACCGATGCTCATCGGGATCCAATCCGCAATGCGACACAGTACTAATTGGATAGTGCTTCCTGAAGAATAGCTTTCTCTTGTTATCAGTCAACGTGACACCTTGATCGCTGACTTTGAAATGTACTGTTGCTGTATCGGGAAGTGGATTTTTCTGGAAGAGTTGCATCACCGCCTTTTTGACAGCTTGCGGCCCCGTCAACGATTCCATATCGATGGTTGAGAGGTAGATGACGTTACAGGCTGCTCCTTGGGTAAACAGCGATTGCGATTGAACTCCATTTTGCTCTGAATACCTACAAAAATACGTTGTATACATTGCGTTAAGGTTTCGATTGGTTGTAATACCTCAAATCGTCCGCAGGAAGGATTAGTCGGCAAGGCAGCGCCATTTGCGTGATGGAGTGTTGGTAAATTAAGGCCGATAATGAGCTAAAGACTGGTTCGTTTTGGCAGCCTTTAAGTCGAACTCCCCTGCTTGTTGGTTCTATTAAAAAGTGACGGATTAAATCGTCTGTAGAGCCGCTTTTGTTTTGGACGTTCGATGGGACTGTAGCCACTCTTAAAGCTAGTCCGAAAGCTCCCGGGAAGGAGTTGGAGTCGCGCACCACGAAGGTACCTGGTTGTTGATCACGAAGCATTGCTATGGCTGAAAAAACAATTATTATAAATATAATTTCCGTTTAGCGAAAATAAAATAAAATTCCTAGGATTGATAGAAGATGTAGGAAGGGATTCAGGAGAGTTTAAGATTGAAAGGGGTATTGATTTGAAAAAGTAAAAATATTACGAAGTAATAGTTATTAGTAAAGGTAAGGAAGAAAAAGAAAAAATTGAGAAAATAATGGTAAGATGTAAAGCCGAAAAACGTCTCGAGGAAACCAAATAAGTGAATGTTGGGTTATGAATAAGAAAATTTTTGGAGGAGTGAGGGTAAAAGGAAATGAGAATGGAGGAGAAAGTCAAATGCGAATTTCAAAGAGCTATATGGACAAGTATATATAAGCCGAATTGTCAGAATAAAAAGCTTACGTTGATTAGGGCAACTAAGGAAAATGCCAGATACGAGTAAAGAGAACATAGGGAACGTTCAAATCTCCAATTAGAAATATACTATCATAGATAGAAATAAGAGGAAAAAGCTGGAAGCAAAATTTAAAGCCATGCGTCCTTAACGTCTTTAGTGCTGTATTTCCGTAAAACCAAGTTCAACGTACTATTTTAAGAAATATAATAAAACAGTTCAGATCCTCAACTAACCTTGTTCTCGGGAAATCGACGGCTTGTACCAAAATTTGGAGGTATCTCTTACGAACTTCACGTTGGCCGCAGAAACTTCGTGCGGCGACTCGTTGTTGGAATTTACGGAACTCCTTCTTGACGTACCGTAGTAAACGGTGGGCGACGAAGAACCGTTGTAACTCGGACTTTTCGGGCTGTGCTGGTAGGTGTCCGTAACGTCGCGAAAACCTGAAGTGGGAGTGGCCGAAACGCTGCGGCTAGTTATTGTGTGTGTGTAATCGGTCGAGGTACCGTTTGTTAGGTCGGATGGGGAAGTCGGTCGGTCCTTTCTGTATTAAATAAAATAGAAAATTGCTCTATTACTGATGATGCATGTAACAGACGTTACGTCACCAGTGTTGACGTAAAGATGTAATTGACGATTTTTTAAAATACAAACAGAGGTCATGAGACACATGATTTGAAAGATGGACAGGAATAACAAAAGCCGCGATAGACACGATTATTTTGTAAGGAGTATATGGCCGCGCTTTAGCTATTTCTGTCGTACTTTAAATACAATTAATGATAAAATACATTATGATACATGCTTTTATTGCATGCACTGTCGGTTGATTTTTAAAAAATATTTTAATAAGTTTTTACCAACACTGAATAACTTTTTAGGTATGAAGATATATTGAGAACACGTGCAGTAGGAATTTTATTATTTACATGAAAATATATAGTACAGAAGAGAAAAAATAGCGGTTGAAGTGCAAATTTGTCAAGTGGTTCGGTGAAATCCAGTAATAAAATAAATATATTCAAAACACGGCACAAATACGAGTTTTTTTTGCTTACTTGTAAGTTTAAAATGGCGATTATTACATGTGATGTTACACTAATTTTAAATAAGATAAATCCATATATTACAATTTTGCAACAATTACTTAGCATATTCTGGAATACTAATACAGTGCAACCTCTTTAATCCGAACACCTAATTGTCAGACCCAAAAACATTTTTTGTACCTTACATATAATAATAACGAAGATAAAGTGTAATTTAAAATAATGTTTCTAACTAGTTAAAGTATCCAGAATTTGTTACCTAATTGTTACAATTATTACTCTATTAATTTGGTTAATTTTCGAGCTAGAACCTCATGGATTGATATAAATGTTTCAAAGCAGAAATAACGTATTTAGTACGAAATTCGAAAAGTTTTGTGCCTTAAAAATCGGTTTGGTACCGTATTTGACTATATTTTTCGGCACAAAGTTAGCCCGATATAACAGTGCTGATGTGTTTTTGAAGAAGACAAGTAAACATGCTGAGTGTATGTCAAAACATAAAAAAAGCACTTTACCTTTCAGGAGAAAGGGACCACTTCAAATTGCTTTTATGCGCTGACGATGGAAAACTCAATCGTCTAGAAATACATTGGATTCAGAATTTCGACTCTGTTTAATGTTATTTTTATTATATTGTTTTAAAAATTAGTTTAATAAAATATTGTAATAATAGTCTGGTTCACAAGTGCCATTTCCCTCGAAACCTGTCCTCCAGCACCGAAAATTATGATTTTGGGCTCATTCGATTCGGAATGGCATCTAGAACATTCTATCAAAATTCCAAGTGGGGCTGAAAAAAAATGTAAAAGTTATAAACAATAAAGTAAAATAAAAAATAAAGGTTTTGGTTTTTTTAAAATATTTCAAAAACTATTTGAGATAATCGAAATTTGAAAAAAGATCCTTAAAGAGCAGGAAATTTCCTAAAAAAAAGTCCTACCTCCCGGAAATGTACCAACAACCCTTATAACTTTAATTAAGCGGCGAAAATAACGGTAAAAACGCGTGGTTCGGCTGCCGCGCGCATCGCCCCAATCTGACACATGAACTAAAAAAATTATATTAATATTTAGGAATAAAAAAATTTGGGTACTAAGTAGACATATGAATAAACAATAATCCGTAAACAAAAAATTTTTATCCCTATTTTTTTTTATTAATTATGCTTTTGTTAATTAGTTAATTTTCACCATTTTAATGTTAACATAAAAACGCTGATTATTTCAAAACAAGAAAACTAGAATTTTTTTTGATTTTTTTTGAGCTATTGTTAAAAGGGTTTACAAGAGATCCCCGTTGGAAAAATTCAAAAATTTTGATTTTTTCATTCTTTATTAACAATCAAAGGCATTAAAAAATTATATATATATATTTTTTTATTATTTTTTATTTAACTTTTAAAAATATTGTACTAAATAATTTTGTAATGCCTTTGATTGTTAATAAAAAAGTGAAAAATCAAAATTTTTGAATTTTTCCAACGGGGATCTCTTCTAAACCCTTTTAACAATAGCTCAAAAAAATCAAAAAAAATTCTTGATTTCTTGTTTTGACATAATCAGCGTTTTTATGTTAACATTAAAATGGTGAAAATTAACTAATTAACAAAAGCATAATTAATAAAAAAAAATAGGGATAAAAATTTTTTGTTTACGGATTATTGTTTATTCATATGTCTACTTAGTACCCAAATTTTTTTATTCCTTAATATTAATATTTAATCAGTTAAAATAATTTTTTTAGTTCATGTGTCAGATTGGGGCGATGCGCGCGGCAGCCGAACCACGCGTTTTTACCGTTATTTTCGCCGCTTAATTAAAATTATAAGGGTTGTTGGTACAGTTCCGGGAGGTAGGACTTTTTTTTAGAACATTTCCTGCTCTTTAAGGATCTTTTTTCAAATTTCGATTATCTCAAATAGTTTTTGAAATATTTCAAAAAAACCAAACCCTTATTTTTTATTTTACTTTATTGTTTATAACTTTTAAATTTTTTTTCAGCCCCTCTTGGAATTTTGATAGAATGTTCTAGATGCCATTCCAAATCGAATGAGCCCAAAATCATAATTTTCGGTGCGTGAGGACAGGTTTCGAGGGAAATGGCACTTGTGAACCAGACTATAAGAATACTTTATTTGGATTTTGTTTCGACCATCAGATCAAATAGCAACAATCACTACACGTTACCATATACATTACAATAGGGTGCAGACGATGGTGCAGACGCATCGTGTGAGGTTTCTAAACACACTCCAGCCTAAGAAGTTTAACTTCAAAAATGGTAGTAATAAGAACAATAATAACATAAGCAGCTTAGGTGTGGTGACCACCGTAACAAAGAGGAGTAATAACGAGCCTAAGTAAAATACAAAAAAGAAATTAACGAGGAAATGAAAAAAACTCCCATAGGAGCAGTACAGGAAGTTCCTACCGATTAGAGGATATTCTGGGAAATCAAAAATACCTCAAGTTTAGTGACATGGACGTGGTAGACTTGAGAACAAATCACATTACCAAGTATTACTCTTTTAATATTCCATTCGAGTTTTTAATACATAATAAACGGAGATAACCATAAATGAATCTGTTCCCGACAATAGGAACAAACTTAGTATACAGAAGAGTCCAAGACTGTGGAATACAATGGGACTGGAATATTTTCCAAATATCCTATGCAATAAGGAAAACATTTTGCTCAATGAAATGGTGAGGTGGAAGTGGCTGTAAAAATAATTGCACACCTTTATTAACCAAAAAGTCGATTATACAGCCTTTTTGGATTATAAGCAACTCCATTGTCCAATGAATTTAGTCCAGCAGAGTTGCTGATGGTCAGTAAATTGAGAAGATTCTTATAATTATCACTAAATAAACCTAATAAAATAATTGATCCTAGTGATTTAGTTGAGATTGAAAGAAGTAAAGATAAATAATTGGAATTTGCTACCAGACAACGTTGTTGTGGCACCTTCTAGCAACACTTTTAAAATAGTGACGCTTTATAATTTTTGTAACATACTTTATATTTTTTGTTTTATCTTGTTTATAAAGAGAAAAATATGATTTTAATAATTATTCGATAATATTAAAAGTGTACTTACCGCTGGGTCGTAGGACTTTTTGGAGGTAGTCGTTCGGAAGGTATGTCAAACTGTACAGTCGGGGTAGAAGCGTTTATGTAGGGCGTTCGTGCGTGTACTGGGAACGCCGGCGTTTGCGGCCTTGGTGAAGAATTATGCGAAGGGCTCGAGTCGTCTAGTGTTTGGGATCTCCAAGAATCTTCGCGTTGGAACTAAAAATTGATAAACCATGTCTATAATGTCTTAAGTAATTACAAAAACATTAAAATTATTATAATAATAATATTACTCTCCCTAATTCACCCCCTTACGAGTTAATTTTAACCCCAAAAGCTGAGCTTGTGCGGGGAAAGGGACGGTTATTATTATTATTATTATTTGCCGTGGCGCTCCAATGCGACTTAAAGATGATTGATGGTGCCATTTGACTTACAGGTGAGGAAAACCTGGAAAACCTCACCCACCATCATCGAGACGGTAATGCATTGCAATTTTTATAATATGCATGTCATATCAACAGAAATTGAATTTCTATTAATACGGCACCCATCAAATCCTATACTGAACCATGCAATTTAATTAAAAATCCACATGGTCTGATCTGAGATTCGAAGCCCGGCAGTCTCAGACCATAAACTTGCCCATAAATGAATATAAGCGCGTTAGACTGCTACACCACCGACCCGATTAAGAAGATAATTATTTGAAATTTTGAAGAAAAATTTGAAAATAGAACATGAAAAATGTGTGGATGTATTACAAACTCATGTTTGTGTAAAATTAATTTTTTCATTACTAATAAAAATTACTGTTAACTCAGTTATTATATAACTTTCAGGTAAATTAAAAAGTCTATAGAATACTTTTTAAGAAAATGATTAAAAGGATGCCTAGTACAACTAGCAGGATATTCTATAGATGATCTAATTATAGTTCTACATAGACTTTCAAATCTCCATAAAAAAAGAATTGACCTATGCAGGGCTGCATTGACATTTCTTGTACAAATGGATTTAAAAAATGAAAAAGCCCATTATTTTACATGCCTTATTATATTTATAGATACATACTTCGATTTTCTCATACTATACGGAGAATGGTCGCACGCGCAGCTTTCTGAGTGCCTTTTAAAAGGAGATAGAAACTCCACCATTTTGATGCCTTATTACGTGTTGCCTACATCTTGGCGCAATATTTTCAATATTTTGTTTCCTGCTGTCAGTGTCAGTGAATATTATTTTTGGAGTCACAGTTTATTGCTAAAGAATCAGTTAGCAGTTAGAATCTATACAACTCGTGGTTACCGCTAAGAGTGGGCTTAAGGGTCAATCAAAAAGGCCTATAATCTCACTCTTAACACTATAATAAAACAGCAGTCTTCTGCGTATCCTGAATTTGTATCCCTGGAGTGGATGTTATTTTGGAACTTTCAACTGGTCCAAGTGAGCTAACTGATTTTTTAGCAATAAACTGTGACTTCAAAAATAATATTCACTGACACTGACAGCAGCAAGCAAAATATCAGGTGCGTTTTAATCATCCGCTTCTGCTTCCGGAATTGTCGGTTTAGTCGTTTTAACCTGTCAGATTAAAACAAGAAAACCGACAATTCCGAAGCAGAAGCGGATGATTAAAACGCACCTATTAAAAATATTGCGCCAAGATGTAGGCAACACGTAATAAGGGATCAAAATGGCGGAGTTCTCTATCTCCTTTTAAAAGGCATTCAGAAAGCTGCGCAGTGCGACCATTCTCCGTATAGTAAAAGAAAATCAAAGTATGTGGAACAATAACATTAATGATAGGTGACAGGGTTAGTTACACCAAGTATGACACGACTCGCAAATTAGTTACTAAAATGCGAACACAACAATTACATGAACCATCTTCCTGAAGAAAATTAGTTATTTTAACACCCAGTATTCCAGTAGTTACCTGCATCTACTCTCGTAATTTTTTATCGAATCTGCAGATACCATTACCAATAAAAAATAGCTAAAGCCTCAAAAAATGATTTAAAAAATGCGTGTTAGTACCTGCCATGCTGGTGCAGAATTATTAGGGCTGTTAGACTTGTCAGAGCCGCTGGAGAGGTTAGCAATCAAGTCATTCAGAGCTTCGAGTCTCGCGCCATCTACTGGCGGCCTGATTTCGATATTTTCGCTTTCTATACCCACCGTTTCGCGTTGCTGGTGACCATAGTTGGCTTTGTGCTGTGTGTACTGTTGTTTTTCTACTAATGATAGCAGACCGCTGTTGTCGACTTGATCTACTCCACGGGATGGTGGCCTGACAATTTGACCTAACGGATTGGCAGCTAGGATTTGGGCCGGGGTCTGATTTCCATTCTAAAAGTGGGGGGGTTGGAGGTTAGTGATGTGAGGTTCATGTGAAAGAGGAGGCTAGATCAATTCTAGCTAACAAATGAGATAGTAGTTTCAAAAAATTTAGTAATGTATGTGTGCATTAAGATGAACTACTAACTCATTGTGAGCTAGTACGAATGTATTCTCTTCGTGAAAAGTAAAAAGTGAGGTTAAAATTGTGTTAAAAATTCTTAAAGATATAGATAGTAAACAAATTTGTTGCATATAAACATAAAAGGCATATTTTTAAAATTTTTCTTATTCATGTCCCTAAGAATTTTTAACAAATCAAATTTTTACATCCGTTTTGTTGCCAAACTAAAATCGTGACTAGCTATTCTATGTATATGTATGTATAAATAAATTAATTATTGATCTAGTGGGTCCGAAGCTGAACCTTGAGTATTTCTTACCTGTTGAAATCTTTCGTGGGCTCTCTTAACGCTAACAAAAGGTCTTTCGTTTTTCGCAGAAGTACTGTAAGTACTTTTTAAAGTGCTATAGGTGCTTGTAGATCCCGGCGTTGATGTTCCATTTTTCTGCATGGTGTTAATATGAAGAGGAATCGTATAGTCATCATCATCATCAGCAAAAGCCGTAGTGTCACTATTTAAAAATGTAATCATGAATCTAAACATGTTTGTGTACTACTAAATAATAAAATTATACATGTAGAAAGTAGTTGCCCTAAAACAGTGCCTTGAGTCACATCAAATACTTCATACCTGGTATAACCATCTAGGCGATGACTCGCAGTAGGGCGCATGTGTCTCGAATGCTGTAGAGAACGGAGTTCTGATAGTAGCCTTGTTTCGTGTGGTTGCCGTTCTTCTCTTAAGATTATTTCTCGACGCTCTTTGAGCTTTTGCTGCTGTCGTTGTAGCCATGTGAGGTTGGAGCCTGTAGTATATCTGTAAGAAGGACGTATGTATTTATCGTGAAATCAATTTCTAGATATGATGCAGTTGCGCAGATTTTGAAAATCGTATGGCTCCACTGTTGTCACTAACTCAGCCACTATGTTAAGACTATCAGACTAGCTGGCGCTTATAATACGAATTTAATTATAAATAAATGTACTTTTAAACATGTTTTTTTTCTGTGGTTATATAAGACGACAACTAACCTATATTCAATTTTTCAAACACCATTGTAAACAGGAAAAACGTTAGTTTTCTTAAAAAGATAAACACTACTATAAAATAGTTATTTGGATTTTATGGCCCATATATTTTAAGTGAAGAAATATGTTTAAAATAACAAAATTATTACACTTTTGATGTATTCCGTTTTATCAGTAAGAGTACAATTTTATTATTTAAAAGCTTCCTTATTTTTTGGAAGCTTATTATACTCTTCACACACGTCTTCACTAGTGTTTTTGTACTAGTTCCTTCGGCCAAAGTCAGTATATCACTCAAGTAATATCTACCAATCCTGGAATATTTTAAAGCAATTGCTCATATTAATTAGGTAAGTACTTAAGTTTAAGTTAGATTTATTTCTTAAATATTGCCTTCAACCTTTTAAGTACTGGAAAAAAATAATACACCTGCCGAAATTTCTGTTTCATAACAAATCATCAATGTAAGTTATTATTTCGAGACATATCGAGCTATCTCAACATCATGTTATTGCATTTATTCCTTAGTCAATCGTCGAGGTCGTTATTATACAAGTGGTCTTACCGAATTAGGGAAGGCCTTCAGTAATCGAGTCATCTTAAGGAACGCCGAGAGAAAAACAAAATTAATAATCAACATACTTTCCACTGACAAAATTTTTATTATTTAAGAAATCATTGTTTCCAACGAACAAAAGATGTCAACAGATGAGAAAGAAAAAGAAGAAATATTGCGGAAGCTGTTGAAAAGAAAATAGGAGAAACATGCGAAAATATTTTTTAAATTTGTTGGAAGTGTTTGAGGATGAATAAATAAAAAGTTTTGGGGTTTGCGAGCAAATGGGACTTATTTAAACCAGTTTTTATAAGAAAATTTAACACATTGATGGGCGTCTTTTTATCATTAATTTCAACTGTTTCATAAACAACACTTAGCTGGGACTTTAATGCTGGAATATCGAAAAAAATTCCATAATTTAAGTTTAGTGAATTAAAAGCTTCTGATGGAAATTTTGATGAATCGTAGTTACTAATATTAAAATTGCACAATTGAACAAATTTTAATTCGTTAAAGTTTTGAAATCGAATGTTCATTTGTTGTAAAATACTATCAAAAATTGCGGCGTATAATCGACAATAGGAGGTCTGTCTGTCGCCGACATTATCAATTCTAATTCTTTTTCTTTCAGGTTTTAAGCCAATGTTCTTATTCCAAAATAATTTTTTTTAGATACCGGCAATATTTTGCTTTAAAATACTATACAGGGTGATTCATCTAAAAACGGACATACGTTGTAAAGAGTTGAAGATGTTATGTTATGATTGTTTCCAAATTCTTTTATTTCTGATAGTATTTTTCATATCTCTCATGACATAGTAGTGTGGTCACAATCGTTATTCAGGATGGTGATGTCCGCTTACTGTCTGAATCTTTTTCCTCCTGTACATGTCATGTATTTAAAGCCGTTTTTGAAAATACCCAAGTTATTCGCTTAATTCGTATATATTTGAACGATAATTGCCCTGAAATTGGGTTTGATTAGACACAAGTGCTACATTTTGGCACATGAACGTAACATTAAACGGGCCGGAGGTTAAATCAATTTCATGGCCCGCTCAATATCTTCCGGTCAATTAATACTAATTACAGCAAAGATCGCGGCCCAAATATTCCACCGAATTTAAATTTGGAGCGAGATAAGTTAAATTCCAAGATTATGAATTATTAGAAGAATGATAGTAATAATAAAAGAATGAAAATTTTCAAAAAATAATTATCGCGCAAACTTCTCAGGCTCGTTGAAAAATTACTTTGCGCACATGTTACACACTATATTTTTCATGCAAAAAAAAAAGAAATAGATTCCAAAAACCGTAAAACAAACAAAGTGATCCAATTGAAAATCAAACTTCTTGGCATTTCCGGTAAAACCGAAAGTCGGCCATTTTATTTAGGTACCTATTATGTATTAAATATAAATCACCCTGTATTATAAAAAGGAAACATATATGACATATATACTTGTCAACGGGGACAGAAAAACGTCAGATGAAATAAAGTTCTTTTACAAGTAATACTATAAAAATCTTCTTTTGAGACTTCATTTCCGGTGAACACTCTCAAAATCACCATATTATGTGTCCACTTTTCAAAAAACGATAATTTTAGTTGTGCTGCAAAGCTTTAAAAATGTAGATACTGGTATATTTGTTTAATAAATGCTATTAAATGAAAGTTTCGGTATCTAGAAAGTCAACATAGTTTTTTTTTGTTGGTGGAATAACCGAAGCAAATCATCCTCGCACAATTAGAGCCGATAAAAATTTCGTATTTGAATGGCGCCCACGATAATTAGAAAATTGCCAAGATAATCGGATAAGGCGAACCTACCTAGATATTATAGGTACGTAGTAGTGTGTGTCCACCCACATTCGATACCTTTACGTATTTATTGTCCTCGTATTTCACAACCTGTTTGTTTGTTTTCTTTTTATGCACGTCGCTACGTATTCCATTATTATTCGCTTTGTAAAATTAATTTTAATCAAAAGTAGCGTTGTCTTGACAAAACGGCTACTTCAGATTCGAGGTGCAGTAAATTCTTTGCATCTGGAATAATCAACTACATGTCAAACGGTTAAAACTCATAATATATCAAAAATCTCAAGTCAATGCTTATTTGTGATTATTAAACCATTATATAAAAACGGTGAGAAATGCACACCATCATATTATAGACCTATATCGACAATGACTACCTTTACAAAAATATTAAGGAAAATAATGAAGTCATAACAAATAAAATGCGGTTTACCACAAAGCACAGTACTTGGCCCTAACTAATTTTAGTTATATATCAACAATTTTCTATTAATGAATCATCAGGTTTGGGTAATTAGTGTTGCTAATGACACGGTTGTTTTCTATTCTGCGGATAACTCGAAAACCCTAAAATTATTTGTAGAAAATGCATAATTGACTGGTAGCCAGCTATAAAAATAATCTCCGGGGTATGACACATAAAATAAAATATCTAGAAATAAATTATTCATAGTTATCTACATTAAAATCATATCATAAAAAACATTGAATATACAATAAAAACATTATTATTTCAGTTCAAATATATTTCAAAATTACTAGAATAAACTTGTCTTATAATGTAAAACTGTGAAGTGATACCTACTTGAAAATGCCAAGCGGAAAAACTGAAGAGGAAACGATAAATATGAATCGCTAATATAAAAACGACTTAAAAGTCAAACAAACTCAAATATCCCAATTATTAATTTCTAAAACTATTAACTTTTTATATATTTTTTCAACACTAAGTAGATAAAATGTTAGCATCCTTTAGAAAACACTCTAAATTGTTAAAACAAACGGAATGTTCGTACTTGTACCCACTCGAAATTCAAATATTAATTTATTTATAGATTAATAAACAGAACAAAACTCAAGGCTAAAAACAAATCTTTTATAATAATAACTCGCTTATTTTCAAAAATACGTAATTTTTTGGCATATAAAATTATAAGACAACATAGCAGTCTTTTCCAGATGCCATTACAATGACCACCTGTGCCTGCAATCACGTGATAGTCTAATAACATTTTTTTATTGTCCATCGTACTCTGCTTAGAAATAAAAAGTGATAAATCATCACAAGCTTGCTGAATAATTATTCCATTAAAGGCCACCATCCGCATTCCCGATTCTCTAAGACCACTTTATGAGAAGGAAGATTATTTCGGTCAGTTCGACCATATTTGGAATAGACTGCAATCGTTTTTAAATCTTCAATAAAGAAAGAAGAGCGTCATTATTTGTTTGAAAGGAATACCAGAGTAATGAATATACGAGGAGGAATATACAGGGTTATTCATTGGGAAACGAACATACGTTAATGTTCTATTTAAATGTTCATTAAAATCTATTATCTTTTTTTCACCTGCTGTTCAAAAAATCAGTATATTTCTAAAGTAATTGTACTCTTACCTCTTACTTTATAATTATTTTAATAAAATAAAAGAACCAACTAGAAGAGAAGTATAAAGAAAACAGTGACAGAAGACAATAACAAAAGGCACGGCATAAGGAAGAAATTGTAACGGTTGGAACCGTTATTCGTTATTTAAACACAATCGTCTTACTCAAATGTCATTTGTCGTCTACTTCTTCCTTTATTCGTCTTGCTAGAAATATTTTTGACTTGGATGTCAACGAATCAACTTGAATTTATTGTTTAAATTATCTTGGTCAACAAATGTATTAAATGATTTTAATCTATCGTAAAATCCGTCTGATTTTATAAGTTTTAATACTAATATATTGTTAAATATATATATTTTAAACAAGGATTTCTTAAATAAATTGTCAAGTTCCGAACATAACCTCAATACCTATCAACAATGAGTAACACACACGGTTAATTTATATATTTTTTTTATTTCGAGTTATTTAATAACCTAACCCACGCCCAATCAATATTGAGCTCAAATACATTAAACAAGTAGATAGAATAACTAGAGATCACGTTACAAAATTTGAAAATGAGAATAAAAATCATGAAATAAGAACATTCTTCTTTCTTCAACTATTCAAATACCAATAACATAAAAATGTTTGCTTATAAAATTGATATATCCAAATTATTAGTAACGAATTAATTGACCTTCACCTTAGACATTACGTTAGCCATTGTTTACCACCATCTGGTCACAAGTTAACAAAAGAACTATAGCTGAATGGGTCGAAGATTTCATAGACGTTATTGAATCTTTTTT